GGTCCAGCAGTGCCTTGCAGATCGTGCACAAAAAAAGTTGGTCATCAAGCCAAAGATGGAGAACGCAAGGTGGTACAAGACGGATGCGGAAGTAGCCGCATGTTAAATAAAATGTGCAGGACTCACTCTGGAATAACTTATTGCACCTCCCTGGGCTTATTTACAGTAGAGTGAATGGAAATATCATAATGTTAAACCATGTGTGATTGCATGTGTGATTGCATGTGATAGTGCATGTGTGATTGGATCTGTGATTGCATGTGATAGTGCATGTGTGATTGCATGTGTGATTGCATGTGTGATTGCATGCGATAGTGCATGTGTGATTGCATGTGTGATTGCATGTGGTCCCACCCAATTGTGTGAAACTAGGTCATGCTCACATGGCAAAACACATTGACCACACTGGTGATAAACAAAGCCCAGTTGCTCTGGCAACCTCCATTTACTCTCACCACGTCTTTACATGGCACATATTTGTATTTGCATCAGATTCCTATTTGAATGTTGACATAGACAAAAGCCGCGCAGTTTTTTTTCTCGACACTGAGAGTAAAGCTATTTAATAAACAAGAGTGCTGTATCATTTTTGATTAGAAACATGTTCACACCTTAAATTAATCATGAGTGTATTTTGCTTTGCTAATGTGAAATCAGAGGTTGGGTATTATTAACTAAATAGAGGCCCTGTAATGTGAATGTGCCATCACTCAGAGTACTCCCTTCTTTTTAAGTGACTGTGGGTGTGGATGTTGAACCTGCTTAGCGAGAAACAAAGAGAGATGTAGAAGGGTGAGGGGAAATAAAAGGGAGACAGTGACTGACAGAGAGGGATTTACTGCTGACTGTGTTTGTCAAGACAAGTCTGGACATACTATAGATATGTAAACACATGTGTGCATGTCTTTAACAAACTCAAACAGCCATGAAGAACATTTCCATGAAGACGTGCAAACTGAATTTAGCAACATGGTTAAAGACTAAATGTGTTGAGGATGTTTAGAGAAGTGAGCTCCTATATAGAGGGTTGCATGTGAGTACAGGGCAAATAGAGAAGAACCATACTTCCCCTATCCGGTTCTTAATTTAGAACGCCCCTTGAACAGGAATGTGCATGTTGTTATGAATTGCGATGGTTCCACTGTGAAGATCTGAGGAGTCATTGTACTTTTGTGTACAGAAAACAGGCATTTTCTTAAAAGATATACATCATAAGGTATCTGAGTTCATGCAGTTACTGTGTATTTGTTTATCTATAGATATAGATTAACCTTATGCCTCTGAAAACTGAAAACCACATTTTAAGTAGTTTGGTTTAAAAAAAAAAAAACACTAATATATTACAATACAAAATATATAGCGTTATTTAATGAGACTCTTACACTTAGCTAATCTTCTTTATCTGTGTAGGTCTAGACGCTTTATTGAGAGTAACCAAACAATTGAACAACTGTCAATGGTTCCTATTAAAATTGTGTTTGTTAATAGATTGTTCCAGGGGAAGTAAGTATAAGCCAACAAGTGAAAAGAGCTCAAAGAATAACTAAATATATAAATGTCGAAGTCACCCAAACTGTTCTGAATTTGGAAGAAAAAAAGTGTGTGTGTTTATTTAGGATCCAATATCTCACCTAATTTAGAGGCCCGGAAAATCCCCAGTAAAATCTTTATTAGTTGCCTTGCAGTGCTCAGAGCTTGGGTTCAGGTTAAAAATGTATATCTGACAGATTATGATGTGTTATCACTGTTTAGGTGTGAGCTAAATTCAAGTTTAATTTCCGTGCAGGTTGTGCTAAACCACCAAAACAGGTGTTAATGTTTATTGATGTGTAAGTCCAAATGTTTAACTCTACAAATATGATTAGACTTAACAATAGCTCATTATCAGTATTGTGACTAGGTATAATGCAGCAAGAATACATTTTCTATTTCTGTAATGCCTGAGAGAGGGGGGTGTGAGTGCTGAGATAAATCTGTATCTAATGCCCTGAGACTGAACTCATTCTATTTATTCTGCACGCTTTATCAAATTTGCACCGTGTATGAAAAATGAAACTGATAAGAAGAAACCAAGAGAATAAAAGAAATAGATGTGCTACAGTGTAGAGTGGTAACAGGATCTGGGAAGATAACAAAAAGACGGGGGGAAAAAGAGCCTGGGGTGAGACACAGAAAAGATGGAGATTGGCAGGGATGCAAAGTGGAGTTGAGTGGAGGAGGATGACTACATTGTGACAGGAGGGAAAATGTTTGTACTCCATCTGACACACTGACCTAGTGACTCGGTACAGCTCACAGCTCCATATTTCAGAGCAGGGGCTGCGGGGAGGGGGAGAGAGGGATTAATGGTGCCTCCAGAGAAGAGAAAACATGGAGATTAATCGAATGAGGGAACAGGGAGTGAGGGATTACAGCTCAGTGGATGGCAGTAGCCTGAAATAATCCAAGCAAACTCACTGGCACAGTCGAGTACATGTGTGTGTTTGACTGTTTGTGGTTACAAATTAGAACAAATTATGAAATAAAAGACAGGATGTGGTGAATGTCATGTATGATTAAATTACAGATGTTCCCATAAAAATGCATGCAAGTGTTTTACAATGTGTGCGTGAGATGATAGACTGGAATGTAATGAGTTGATACTGCTAGAGCAGAGAGATTGGCCATGGGGCCCCACTGAAACCATGTGCAGCCAATCAGTTACAGTTGGTCCCTCATCCCCACAGAGACTCTTTGATGTGAGCGAGGCCTTAAAATTCAACCCCGGGGAGTCACAAGGCTACACTGGCTTTGATCTGAGTCAGGAGAAACCTTATGCCGTTCCTCACAACAAGGGCCCTCTGCACAACAACAAAATACCCGCTCGCCTGACATTGAAAGTGTTGGAGGAGTCATGTGGGTGCTGAAAATCAGTTCACTAAATACAGACATATTGTATGTGACTGGTCGAGGTAGCTGCTACAAATGTCACTATTACCCATTGCTGTACCTTGCATCCCAAATGTTCTAATGCACAGTAACCAAAGAGAGTTGGTTGCATTTTTTAATAAGATACTCTGTTGCAATACACTTTATTTGAGAGGGATGTGAATAATCCTGAAAGGTGTGAACTGGAAATATCTCACAGCCCTTCTCTGCAGATAAATAATTCATGCCTATTACTTGCACCACAGGGCTGTCAGTTCAAACCACTGTGTTTAGTTTTCTGACTCGAGGCAAAGGGGACTTTTTTTGCTCCTTGTTTGTGAGCTGCAGATTTGCTTGTTGTCACAGAGTCTATGATGTAAATATCCGTCTTCCCCCCCCCCACCGTCTGCTCTCCTATCCTGTTATGCTGCTGCTGGCAACCTTCCAAAATACTTCTCCATCTATAAGCTCTTCTTCTTCCTTGCCTTCTTCTTTCACCTCTTGTTTTATCATTGGGCAACAAAATGTCTGCCATGCCGAAGCTATGCCGAAGCTGTTCTCCCACTCCCTCTTTCTTTTCCCTTCTTCTGCTGTCTAACAGAGCTGCACAGCGGTTACGTAAGAGCTAAGGTCAAAGTGTCATTGCCGTTGTCAAGGGAGACATAGAACAGAGGGGCTTTAGAAGAGATGTGCACGGGGCGCGAGAGAGGGAAAAACTGCAGACACAAACGTCTGATAGGAAAAAGCTGTGCAGGAAGGAAGAAACGTAAGGATTTGAACACGTATGCATGAATAAAAAAATCAATCTGATGAAGTGTATAAATAAAAGCGATTGGCTGAAGGTGCCCGACTGCTCCACTAACCTAGATTGAGTAATCTCAGCCTTGATGCTGTTTCATAACACCGCTATCAGAGTATTGCATCACAAAGCCGCCCCTACAGCTACCCCTCACACCTGAGTAACCATCCACCTCTTCATCTGCCCCCACTATCACACTGTCTGTAATGTCTCACCCATTCAAATGTTAAAGAAAAATGTACAAGCAAAAATAAGTAACACATTTGGTATTTGTGGATGACATAATACTGAGATAGAAATAAGTAGCTCTATTCCTGTGATATGTTCCTGCAAGTGTAGTGCATAAATGTGAAATGTACCAACAGGAACCAGACTACAGTGGATAAAACTGTGCACTGTCACTGGGTATAAACTACATTTAATGGTGGTGAGCAATCATTGGGAGAGCAGCAAGGCATATTTTCATAACACTAGACACAGGACCAAAGCTAATTTGAGTACAATGGCTCTATGAATATTTTACAGGTCCAGGAAATGAAACTCTGAGACGATGCAGCAACTCTACACAGTATTTATGTTGCCACCGAATAAAATGTATGTGTGTTCTCGTTTATTGGGGAAAATAGATATTTTAATAAAGATTACTTCCATTGTCAACATGTCTGCTTATTATATTCTAGATAAAGACTGGTCTCTGAAATGTCAGATAATAGGAAAATAAATATCCATTCCGGTTGCTCCAGGTCATGTTTTCAAATGTTGTCATTCCAATATCCAAAGATATTGAGTTTAAAAATAACCAAGAAAAGCAGGACATCTCCATATTTGAGAGGCTGATAATATCATGTTCTGCCTTTTTGCCTGAATAATGACTATAATTACTTATGTATAAGTAATAGTTGGAGATTATGTTTGTGTAGTTTTGTTTTTCTCCCTGATACTACATAGAACTGCTTTCTTTTAGCTTATACCTTTTTTTAACTGCATACTCCACCAACCTCCAGGTATCTTCCCTCAGGTTGGGAATGAGTGCAATGAATAAAATAGGTCTAAAAGGTGTAAGCTTTCTGGTAAACAAAGAGCAAGTTTCCTATAGCTTCTCATGAGTGTGAGTGAGATGAGAGCATATGAATGTCTCTTAAAGCAGAACTGATTGCAGGTTTAATTACATTCCAGGTAGGGATCATAATTATTTCTCATGACAACAGAGCACTAGTCAATCATTTGCTTAGCCACCTTAAACTCGCCCCCGACGGCGCGATCCCGCGAGAGCTGCGAGGATCTGTCGGCGGTGAGATCATGGGAGAGTCCACCACGCTTGGAGAAAGTAGGTTAGCAGGGTAGAGGAAAGCAGGCGGAGAATCAGAGCGCAGAGGGGGGGTCCGATCACCGGTCGTCCACTGTGACCGTGGGACTATTATGTCAGAAAAGTTTAGCTAAATATCTACGCCGATGTACCAAGAGGTTACGATGCAATCCGTAGCGACTTTCTGCACTCTTTTATTTCGCACGGACTTGACCGAGCGATAGGGGAGAGGAGTTTCGGGTAGTTTTTTTCCCCAGTATTCTTTTGGTCGTGCTTTACGAAGGCTGTCTGCAGCCGGGGCGAAGTTAATTTACGAAGCCATTTCACTCTGGCTCTAGCGGCTTAATCTGCTCGACCGTGTCGCCTACATTAACCACATGTAGTCGGGTTTTTAAACCGTTCTGCCAAGAGAAAGAAAAACATCAAAATGAGAGGTACGTTGATAGTTTTTCTCATTAAATCTGTCCAGTTGAACTTGGTGAAGATCACAGTGGGGGGTTTGTGGGTCTTGAACGGCCACTTGTGTGCTCACGCGGATTTGAGTGCGCTTGTTTTTCTCCCATTGCGCATTAATCCCTCATGACTGGATTATGGCTGCACAGAGCCCCAGGCTGCATGCTCCACGCTGAAATTCAGCATGCAATGATAAACATCAGGAGGCATATTGTTCAATCAGGAGAAATGTCTCAAGCAGATGATTTCAGTTTTCATAATCTCTTAGGTCTGTTTGTGGTGAAAGCAGGCCAATAGGCTACTTTAATTGCACACATGCGTAATTGTTTATTTTATGCATCATGGCGGTGCCAAATGTGTCTGTTTTTGAGGAAATGTGAGTCATATCTCATCTGGGCTACCTTCTGTAAATGTTGCTGGGACATACATGTTAGGAGTTATGCAATAAGGAGAGGGAGGGGTATGAGAGAAGATTGTTGTTAACCAAAACTGCAATTATGTAATAGAGACGTTATTCAGGTTTCAAATGAATTTAAAATCTTGTGAAATTATGCAAACATTCACATTAATGTATTAAGTCATGTACTGGTATTTACTATCATACAAACGTCTTATTCAGTGATTATTTTTATATTTAAATATGTTTTTAAAAAATGAAAAAATTGTGAGGATTCCTGCTAACTTTCCACTTGTAGCTTGGACTTTACAACATGCATGTGAGCAGTGTTGGAGCAGTGGTGTGATGTTGTTGTGATGTGATGGCTGTGCCAGCATGGCTGACCGTGTGAGTGAGCAGAGGGAGAGGGATCTGGCTGTTCCACTGACCTAGTTATGTCACCCAACGTTATACACATAGACTGTATATGGTTATAAAGCATAGGCAGCGGCGGGAGGAGGGGAAGCTGTGGGAACTGCCGTGCCGCCGGGCGTGCAGCTCCATGTGCGGGCACAGCCGCACACTGACGCTCGCCCTTCACTTTGTGGCTCCATGACACAGGCCGAGGATGAACTTGGGTAGAGGGCATCAGAGAAAAGTTGTTTACATACATACAGCCATCTGATTCCTATTGTTTGTAACATTGAACTAGGTTTTTTCAATAGCCCTATTTTCTTATGTGAAAAGGGCAAATATTTCTCAGCATTACATAGCCTGGGTGACATTATTATTTGTTTTGTGTTGTCTACCAGAAAGACAGATCTTGCTGTAAACATATCACAGTTTTTATCAAAACACACATTCATGCAGCAGTTTTAGTTGCAAACAAAGACCTAGTATGTTACAATTAAACTAATCCTTGTCTCAATGTTAACTAAAGTTTGGTTTGCTTGTCTTACATTACAATCTTTTGTTGTGCAGAACAGCTGCAAAAAGTTTTTTTTGGCAGGGGAGGACAGAGATGGATTTTGTTTTAAAGGAGGGAGGAAGAAGCTGAGGGGGCCTCTCATGAAGGGAGGATCCAATTCTGGCAGGATATCCAAATGTAAACAAAGCACGACCCTTAGCTCACTGCACTGAAAATGTGTGTTAGTCACCCAACCTGCCATTTCCTCACTAGAAAAGCACGTCAGCATTTGTTTTCCAGTTTGAACATGCATACAAACATTTGGTATAAGAACCAGTTGTCTAAATAGTAATTGCGACAACTTTTGGCTTTAATTTATGTCCTGTTGTCATATCTGACACCTCCTGTGATACAAGATGGCGCTACTGCAGCATGTCTTAATATGTATTCCATGAAGACTTAGTGAAAGAGCATAAGATACACACACACTGACGGTCGGTAGAAGAGGCCTATGGAATTGTTTGCTCTGTTAATCCCCCCTTAGTGTGCCTCAGCCTGGCCTCCTCTGGTATTTGCATCTTTTAAAATAGAGCCCCTTGATTTGAGTGCACCAGCAGCCAAGCAGCCAGGTTGTTTATAAGCATCTTGAGAGTGAAGTCTCATCCGTTTTGTTTGTCAAGTAGAATCATCCTTAGACAGTAACATCTAATTATTTAGTGAGAGCTGCGTATTAGAGAATGGGGCTGTGTGCTACGCTGTGTCAAGTGTAATCAGTAAGACACCTAATAGAAACAAGCACAGAGTGTGAAAACAAACAGGGGCTTGTTTCCCTATCTAAGAATATACTGATCTCCTCAGGTTCTTCTCTGAGGCCTTGAGGCTTTGCAAACACATGTTTTGGAAATAATATAATCTGAAAAACATTCCTGTAAACATGATTCCAAAAGGTGGAAGAGACAACAAGGGCAACCACAGTGGATTTGTTGTGTTACGGCTCTGTGCTGCGCTGTTAGTTTACACCCAACTGTGAGGCATGACACAACAAGTGCTTCAGCTTTGCTAATGAGTGAAGAACTCAAGCACCAGGCCCCTCACCTCCTACTGAGCGTATCTTCTTGTGCCGTCAGTCATTCTTATGCTGAGGTAATGGAAATAATTAAAAGAACACAAGCTCCCATAGAGCCTTCAACCACTCTGATGCTCAACGGGCATTTAGTTGTAGTCTGCATGTCATTGTGACTTGCTAAATAAGTGAACTGCCGGTACTTGGGTTAAAACAGATTGTACGTTTAAAATACAGAGACATGATGTTTGTAAACATCTGGAGGGTCAGCAATGTTATTTTTTTCCTTTAAATATATTGAAACACTGTCATACTGACTAAATAGGCCTACAAGCCAGGGGGCTCCTGCTGGAGGATTATTGGTTGTTTGTGGTTCATATGAAATTCCAGGAAGCGAACAGCCGAAAGCAAAAGCTCAGTGATTTGTCTGTACCTCTCTCTATCCCTTTAATACTGAATTAGCCTTTTATCACATTTATTTGTAGCCGAAGTGTTAAATGTCTGTTCCAAGTTTTCTTTGTGAAAAGGCTTGGATGTGCAGTCTGCTCTAACACCATTCTTTGTTTGCATCTGGCGTCATTTTCAGCAATTTATTACATTTCACGCTAACATTTTCGGACTCGGGAGTGTTAGTGTGTGAAAAATGTAATGCCCTGCGTGCAGCCTTTGTTTATCATCTAGGGCTGTACCCGAGTATACAAATATTCGTCTGTTGGAGTACTATTCGGGTTTCAATTTCGTTATTCGGATATTCGAGCACTGCGATTGCCAAATTGAATTTATTGAAAACTCCAATATCAACGTAAGAGCTTGTGCCTCTTCGGGGGGTGCTAACACTTATCCATAAACGTTATCGTTTACTTTCTCCGTCTTTATATGTAGATATGACTTTTTCTCCGTTAATTTCCGTCCCGTTGTTTCCATAGCAACAACAACTTCCTGTCAACTACCGAATATCCGGAGCCCGAAAAATGGTATTCGGGACAGCCCTATTATCACATGGTAGCAACATTCAGGATTAAGATTTCTGTTTTTGGTATGCAGACTCTTTAGAGAGCTTCAGATGATGTCTAATAATTGTTGTTCAGCGCCGGTCAGCAATGATTAAAGGTAAATGTAATAGCTGTTGAATTTGTTATATATTTTGAGTACGTTCAATATCACTGGGTTTATCTCATTACAGTGTTGTTTTCTGTCAAAATGAAATGATTTAACTTATCGTTTGGTAAATTGACAAAAAATAAGTAACTTTTTAAGAAATAATGCATAAAATACACTTGTTCCAGCTCCTGAAGCATATATGAGTCTTACTGTGTATAAAAAACAACAGAATAGTGATGGCTTTTTGACAGTTGGTCTAAGGTTAAGGGTATTTTTCACTATTTTCAAATGTTTCATAAAATATTGAATTGAGTAAATCAAAGTTATTATCTGTAGCCATCGCTTTTCTTCTCTCTATTGTGTCAGCGATACAAGTCTTTTATGACGTTGCTAATATTTGGTAGTACGTATGTAGGTGATTGGTTTAAAGGGCTGGTATGTTTTCATTAACCAGGCAGTTACAGACCTTCACATTCAATAATAGAAAAATAAAGGATATAAATATATGACTTTCTCTCGATACCTGGATTGTCAGAAAATAGGAGTGAGAAAGCATGGATTTGTGTTTGCAGCAACAACGTGGGGGGGCGGCATCTGTGTAATTCTGGCTCACAGGACATAAATAGATTGGGTTTAAGCACAGGCTCAATGTCAAAGTCTGGCGAGAGGGCTGAATTGCTGACATTCAAGTTCAGATGTTGTCTGCTTTGACTGGATTGTTGTCGGTTACAATATGAGCTCCTACCATCAAATCAAATGCTTTCTCATTACTAGAACAGCACAGGGTTTAATGTCTGCATAGCAATCACTCCATATGACAAAACATTTTGAGTGATTGAGGTGTGTAATCAAACTGGTAAGTGCGGTTTCTCTAAGCCTTCTTGGCATATCTTGTTGTTATGTTACATGGCCAGTTTTCTGATCCAATCTACGAGCCTTCAGGGGAATGTCTTATGAGGAAGTCTGAGCATTGTTTGGCTCCACCTTAAAACTGGTCTGTGGCGAGTCAGGATGGTGCTCTCCACCCTCCTCCCTCTCCCCCTGCAGTGGGAAAGTGTGTCAGTGGGACAGAATGTCCACATGGGCTGACAGGCTGTAGTCACAGATGACTCAGCCAATACCAACCTGGCTGTGAACGGCGCTCAGCCAATGGGAAAGAGAGAGAGAGAGACTGAGGAGGGGCGGGGCATCAGTGTTGCTAGAGTGAGCCTGCTCAGTGCTCCATGACTGTTGTGAGGAATGCTCGCATTTGAGAGTTATATAATCCTGAGATGAAGGAAAGGTGGTAGGGGAACATGAGTAAAAGAGAGAAAGGGAGGGAGATATTTTTCCGTTGCATGCCCGCAGCTGCCCTGACCAGTTGGAGTTTTTTCGGCAACAGTTTTAGAGTGGAGACAGCTGACTGTGTCATTATCGAGGAAAAGTGGAAAGTTGTGTTTTCCAGTACCTAAGGGTGCAACAATTCCTGCTCAAGTGTTTTTCCATACATGTTTGTAAATTGGTCAAAGATTGTACTCTGCAGGGCTGAGCAACAACTATCTGATGATGTAAGCAGGTGTTGTTTTTCTCCTTGGCCAAGAAAAGAGTATTTTGTGTATACTGTATATCCTGTGTGCAGGCGTCATGTGATTTCCTATCTGTTTGTGTACTTTGTTCCTTCATTGGGGCCACATGAAGGGTGCAGACAAACACATTTCATGACAAGTTATCTTCTCCTGTACTGCTTGTTGTGAGACGATTTGTCTGCATCAGTAATAAAAGTAATAAACATACATGACTTTATTGATACTGCCACATTGTTGCTCAATCACTGTACCTATTGCAAGACATTTTTTTTGTCATTGATTACCACACTCTGGTGCAAAGTACAGGATTTGTCTCTGTTTCTTTTCCAAGTGTGTTAATCATTTTTCAAACAATTGTTGAATACGGTGAAGTTCTGAACGCAGCGAGATAAGAGAATTATGTTAAAGGCCTCCAAATAAAAGACAGCATCCATTTTTATTGGATCTACAGTTTCACCATAGCTGCTAATGAGCTTGTTTTAACCAGGACTGACCTGGGACCACAGACTGTATTCAGACTCAAAGGAGACTGATATGAAAATGTTCAACATGTCTCTTTCTAACATTGCCTGTAAAAACTCACAGAAAAATTGATTTTTAAAATCCGCTACATTTGCATCAGCTGGAGGCAAAGAGATTGTCTTGTAATAGTGCTCAGAGTTATAGCGTCTTTGAGCATTAAGAAAAACGCTATACAAATCCCATGTATTATTATTACATGGGTGACTGTTTCAAGGTTTAAAGAAGATGCAAAGGAGCACATTTTGGCCATTGTTTAACTCTGGGGAAAAAAGATAAGTTCAGAACATAAAGGAAAAAAACTCAAGCCTGGAATATGGCTGGCTTACTTTTTCATCAGCACTTTCAACAAACGTTTAAAAACAGGTTTAAGTGGAAGTAAGTGTGCAGCTTTAGCATGTGCTTACTATTGAAAAATGTTTGATAACAAGTGGCGCTAAATCAATGTAAATTATGGCCTTCTGTAAAATTGTTATGTCTAAAATAATGTATCATGTTACCCAATGTTAAGTTAGTGTTTAGATTTGAACCGTCTTTTGGCAACAGTTCCCAGTATGTCTCAACAATATCAAATAAGCAATAGCTGTTACCACTGAACTTCGCAAAGCAGATGTTGACTTATTTTCTTATCTCTAGTTTCGAATTGTACCTGAATCTGACCTCTTCTTTCAATGTTTTGGTTGGTCCTACAGCTCAGATCGAGGTCATCCCCTGTAAGATATGTGGGGACAAGTCCTCAGGAATCCACTATGGTGTCATCACCTGCGAAGGCTGCAAGGTGAGGAGGAAACACAGAGTAAACCTGGCTACCAAACATAAATTAAACAAACCTGTTTATTCATTTAAAATGTGCTTGTCATTTAAAGTGTTTGTATGCATCTGTGTTTGTGTGTCCTAGGGTTTTTTCCGTCGCAGCCAGCAGAACAATGCCATGTACTCTTGTTCCCGCCAGAGGAACTGCCTGATCGACCGAACTAACCGTAACCGCTGCCAGCACTGCCGCCTGCAGAAGTGTCTGGCCTTAGGCATGAGCAGAGATGGTAAAAACAAAAACCACACTGCATCCTCTTTACACACCTCCTTTTAACATGTGATTCAGCCTTAAACTCATTTATTTACCACAGATGGGGTTTGTTAAACTTTCTCTTACATTGGCAACATTTAATAGATTTATTTCTCTGGGAATCCCAGTACATGTGTTCCTTTTAATTAAAAGCTTATACCAGGAGAATTCACAATCACTACCCTGAGAAGGCTTGCCACATGTTAACCTGTTCTGTAGGTTTAAGAAAAAAAACACTAGGTGGCAGAAGTACAAAAATAAAACGTTTTAATTTGATTGAGCTGATGGCTATAGAGGTGAAATGTATTTTGTTTGCAAAAACTCTGCCAAAAAAAGTATTGTTTAGTTTTTGTCTACTATAATAAAATGCATTTCATCTCTTTAGCTGTGAAGTTTGGTCGTATGTCCAAGAAGCAGCGTGACAGTCTCTACGCTGAGGTGCAGAAACACCAGAAGGCCCAGGAGGCTTTGGGCACTGCAGGCGGTGGTGCTACAGCTCTGTCCTTACACAAAGAGGACGGTGTCTGTGGCAGGGAGGGGGGCAAGGAGAGTCTGAGCCGGTCCTACAGCAGCGGGGGCTCCAGCTCCACCCTCAGCGACCTGGACGACATCGCAACGCTGCCGGACCTGTTCGACCTGCCGCTGACCCCCGAGGAGGCCAGCGACTACTGCAGCATGGAACTGATTGGCGGTGGAGCCAGCGCGGGGAACACCTCTGCCTCATCTTCCTCTTCCTCCTCCCCATCCTTGTCCAATCAGAATTCCCCGCAGCAGACTATGCTGGACGGGGCCGACAGCAACGGGATCCAGATTCTGCATCCTCACACACATGCACTGCTGGACCATCTGCCTAATGACTGCTCAATAACAGAACTCGGTAAGTACTGACATGATAAAGGACAACTATTTCCTCTTTATTTTAATCGCTTTCTGCAAACACAGAGTCTCAGAGTGTATGACAATGACTAAAACTCTATGTACTTAAATAAAGACAAACTAGGTCTTCAATACATAATTGATGAGACACAAGGCAAGAGGCAAGAGAGGCAATTATCTGTGAGGTTCAACTTTTATGTTTTGTCCCATTTTAGTTTTATGTATTTTCTTGGTCTTTGCTTTTAGTGAAAATGTGAAACTGTCTGTTTCACATTAAATCACTCACTGAACAAAGAACAATGTTTAAAGAAAGATTGATATGATCATGTTGCACTGTAATTCTATACAAATATAGTAACTGTTGTGCTGCCAGGCTATTATATGTTTTTATTTTCAAATGTACAGTAAATTAAGATGCGGGCAGATGTAATTTAAAACAAAACAGTTGTAAAGAAAACCCCCACAAAGATTAGGTTTTAGGACATATCTTAAAACAGGGTTCATACACTTTTTCACCAATGACTTTCAATGACTTTTCCATGACTTCTCCATGACCTTTACCTAATTTTCCATGACAAAAAAAATTACTCTTTCTCAGCGGTACCACTGAAAATGGTTTATTTTAACATGGAACAGGAAAATAAGGTCTGCATATGAAACATGTTGTGCCTATATAAAACAAATCAAATAGTAGGCTTACTAGCTTCTACACACTAAAGCAGGGGTGGGGAACCTCCGGCCCCCGGGCCGTATACGGCCCGCGAGACCAATTGGTGCGGCCCTCGAGGTAATTTATAAACACACGCAAAAAAGAAAAAAATTAAAGAAATCTAGACCCCAAAAAAATTAAACAAGCGAGTGCCTGTTTTTCCTGGCCAAGGTCAGGGTCCTTGAACACAACACGAGCCTAACGTGTCATCACCTGGTCATCACGTGGTATATATCTCGTCTTACAGGGGTGCAGTTCTGCCGGAGAGCACCAGAACGTCGCTCCGGAACTTTCACAAATTGCAGTACCCATAAGCACATGCCGCAGTTTTTGCGTGGCTGTGTCTTTATTTGTAAGCCCAGTGGCGATCTTTTCATCTGTCATACTGATCATACAGTCAATAACTTTGTTGTTATTAGCATCTGGTTAGCTAGCTATGCTAACGAATATAACAAGCTTTTTCTACAACCAGTGAGGTAAAGCAACTCGTGATATAGATCCCAATAGTATACAAAAAAGGAATAAAGTAACACAGGATAACATACTAATGACANTCAAATGTGTTTATTATTATTTTTTACGCAAGGGGTCATCTTCACGGAGGCTCTCTCTCTCTCACACAAAATGCGCTCGTGCCACGCACACACAGACGCTCCTCCGTGAAGATGACCCCTTGCGTAAAAAATAATAATAAACACATTTGAAAAGTAGGGGGGACACAAACAGGATTTTGAAAAGTGGGGGGGATATGTCCCCCCTGTCCCCAGTGGAAATTACGCCCATGCACACACACGCGCACACACACACACACACACACACACACACACACACACACACACACACACACACACACACCAGTGCGTATGACGACAATGAAGATGCTGTCTAATTACACGACAGTGACAATGTGTGAATTTGACCTGTTTTAATGCTGCTATTATTTTTGTTTTCATTTATTAAAATGTAAAAAAAATATATAGATTATGAAAATGCCGTGGGAGTTACAGCCAAGTACAAAGACAAATATTATATTAGAATTGTCAAAATGCAAAACAATTAAAATGTTATACTATACAGTACCAACTTGTACACAGAATAGCACATCAACAATGTTCTGTTGGTTCGTATACAGTACAGATACGTGTGAGTTAAAAAACCTTCTGTCATACAGACAAAACAAATCTCCGTATGTCAGAGATTGTTGTCCAAAATAATGTTTTGGTTTATCTCTGTGTAAGATGTATTACAGTATGTAGTGAGCCAATTGTAACATGACATTGGTATCACATGGTATCTGTGTCATTACTAGTGACCAATAGTCTTAATTGTTACTAGCTAGTGTTGGTCAGTGTGGACAAATCTGAGAATGTTTGATGGCAACCACTTCGGTACAAATCCCGAGTGTTTAGGAACAAAAGAATGAGCAAGCCCCGAAAGATAATAGTTTTGAGGGCTGAAAAAGCTATGGCAAGGTATTCTAGCCTAAAGTAATTATGTTACATAAAACTGCACAAACTTATTCTGAAAATCGCAATACATGGCTAATACATGCAGTGATTCTGCTCAAGCTTGGCTGCAAGTAAAAAAAAAAAAACCGCATTACTGTAAAGCTTGGGTTTCAAAGCTGGTCATCCCTGACTGTTCCTGTTCTCTCACACCAACACACACACACACAGACACACACACACACACACACACACACACACACACACACACACACACACACACACACACACACACACACACACACACAAACAGCCTGCGCATGCTACATACTAAAACCCTGCGGCCAATCATTGATGTAGCCTCCTCATTAGAGTGTGTATTGATTAAGGCTATCGATCCATAAGTTAAACCATCAGATCTGGGCCATGGCCAACATCTCACAACTCTGCTGCTGCCATGACAAAGGCACTATTTCTAACGATTTTGGCTATAAAAAGAGGTTTGGGGCAGCGCTTTGATGTTTGATTATCAAGAGTTCTGAGTTCTCCCTGCTGAGCCGAGAGACATGAGAGACGGATGAAAGATAAAAGAGGGAGGTGGTTTGAGTAAAGGACAAAAACTGAGAAAAAGAGATAGCCTACCGGCTGCAGACTTCCAGCTCATCAAACTATAAAAAACAGACCGCCGGTGACAGAATGAGTATCAGGAAATCAAGGGAAGAGAGACGAGCAAGGGGAAGAAGAAAGGGTGTTATGCTATTCGTGTCAGATCATGTTGGCGTGATAGGATTAAATGGTGTGGCACTGACACGTCGGTTATCATGGGATACGTGTAATGACGGTGACAGCAAAACAGTGTAATCTTCCCTCATCAGGCAGTCCATTAGCAAATCACCTGCTAACTCTCACATCATTAACCAATCAGCAGGTCATCTGAAGAAGCACCTGCTCTCCCCTTTTATCAGTTTGTCCATATGTTTCGTCCACATCAGCTGGGACTCCATTTATTAAAATATTCGCGTTCACATGCCACAGCTGACGCGACAGGAGTGACCGGGGGTGAGGAGCATGCTGGGATATCCAACACCACCCCCACAGTAGGCCAGCTAACTATATGAATATATTTAATGATTGTAGATTAAATATTTACTCATGATCCCATCCAAAAATGCCTCAGTGGCCTTTAGTGTATATTGGACATGCTCATGTTTGCACAATGCATCTCAACTATTAAAGCTGCTGGGCAAGATCAATACACCCTCATCGTGCTAAACAGAGACCGACTAAAGAGCAACATCCTTCTCTACAAAAGGAGCATTTACTGACCGCGAGGAAACACTGAGACATAAATACAAAAAGCCTCGGCTGTCTGAAGGCACAGATACCAAACCCAACATTTCTGATGCTGCGAGCACTGCTGTCTAGAGGCTTGAGCCATGACCTGTGCTGCACCCAGTGCAGCATATCCCTTGATATGTGTGCACATGCATGTGTGACAAAAATTGGACAAGAAAAATCTAACCACGTCTTTTCGTGGGTGTTGACATTTCTCTGTATGTCGTCGTATTTGCGTGCTTTCTGATGCTTTCTCTCTGTCTCTCTCCTTTTCTCTCTCTTTCTCGCCCTCTCTCTTTAGCTGCTGCAGCCACTCCACTCTTTGCCTTTGTTACCGTAGCAACCAATAGCAAAGCCAGGCAAAGATGTTCTATTGCAGTGGATGTAAAAGCGAGGAGGGCGGGTTCGCCCTCTAACACATACATATGTGTGAGCATTACACACATACTAATGCGTGTGCCCAAATCCCAAAGACACAATGGTATGAGTGAGCATGAACACCTACGTGGACACATATATGGGGAGGTGGGGGTCCCCTCTCTCTCAGCGAGGAGGGGGATGGGGGAGCTGCAAGCATTTTGTTTCCACATTATCCACACACTGGCTGCACAGTACAGCTCATTTGAAATCAATATGTCAACAATGGGATATATATTCATTGAAACACAACAATGTATTTTCTGTATTACACACTTAGATAATATGTGTACTGCTGCTGAGGCTCTTTTTATGGGGTTTCCCCTTTGAATATTTAATATTTAAAGTGAATCAGAATGAACTAACAGGATGATCATTGTTCTGGGTTCATTTAGAGCTATTCAAAAGAATAACTTCACTTGACATGAGTTAAGCTGTGTTGCCTTTGATTTGATTTGGACAAAAAATAAGTATGTGAGAAGATAATACAATCTTTCTTAATACTTATTATTAAATGAAGATCTGAGATGTTCTCTGTCGCAATATTATTAAAGGTTGACTTAAGGAAATGAAGAATAAAAGGTGGATAGAAAGTTAACTGTTAAAAGACATCAACACAAAGTCCTGGCTGAGGTGGAATACTTTAAATCTTCTCTTTTGTCACACACTTGCTTCTTAAAGAAGGTATGCAGACTAAAGCCCGGAATAAAGAAAGCCGGCCTGAGGGTAGAAACACAGACATGGGCTAAACTGGGAGAAGTGGGTCACCTTCACACTTCAGGACTCCACCCTACAAGAACTATAGCTTCATTAATAGACTCTAAGAAAGGTTTGATAAAAAATGGAAAAGGTGTGAACATACTGTAACCAAGACAGATATCAGATAGTATTTCTTACTTCGATAGTGTTGAACATTAATGTATAAGTAAGAGTTAAGACAAACATTGTTCTCAACATGAATCTCTCACAGCTTGTCCATTTACAACACCACTAGGTACAATATGTGTACTTAATAAATGTCACTCCGAATGTCACTGAAGCTTAAACAAATTAGATTTGAGCTGTCAGAGGGATTTGCTTTAATGAGATGAGAGAAATATTAGCAC